GAGAGGATGGCTCCCCAATCACTACAATCGTAACCTCATCAAGTCTAGGGTCAACAGTTATCTACATACAACAACCTCATTAAGTTACCCTCTAACTTGAGTAGGTCTTGGGCCTTGTATTTCTTTCTTTAGGGAACATTTTTCTGTTTTTTAAAGAAAAAGAAAGAGAAAAAAGCATATTTGGGTTAGGTATGTCTATTAGTGGCTATACGATTTGAACTTTATTACATTGTTAGCGCTGCAGTTGAGTGCAATTTGCTTTTCCAGCCAACAAGTTACTAAATTAGCCTAATCACAAATGTCTACTACCACTAAAATTTAAAATGCAAGATAAATCATTTTTCTGCCTTACAACACTGTTAAACTTTGTGCTACGGTAGTTGCTTAAGCTTAATCTGATTCATAACCCTTTGAAGATCAAACTTATGACACAGGTGAACCGTCGGCGGGATTAGAATCATATCTTATTAAAATCATATTTACAATACTGTATGTCAAATTTTGTCTTATGTCGAATCATATCTTATTTACAATAATATCTTACGTACAATCATATCTTTTTTTTAATCATTTCGCCCCAAGTAAGACAATAAAGCCATTAAGATGCAAGGAGTTACTGAGTGTAAAATATGAGAAAGAGAAAAACGTTATCAAGGAGAGAAAACAATAAAAGACCAGGAATTAAGACGACGAAAGATAATTGATATTGCATTTATGTCTTTATTTTTTAAGTTTAAAGTTGACCAAAAGTGAGGGGCCAAAGGGAGTTCCATAATCGAGAAATGCGAGAGAAAAAACAGTTAGCATAGAATCTACAGTTACGTCTATAGTCAATTCAACTTTAAAATGATGAAACCTAGCGTATTTACAATCATATGTAGGATCATGACTTATTCAGAATGTTATCTTATCTATAAACGTATCTTATTTATATACTGAATCCATTACGTATTGTGCTAGATAATTTTTCTCTCCTAAATCTATCTTACATATCTATAAGTCTACCATTCGTCCATACTTAGAGCATTACTGCCACATATGGTCTGGTGCTCCCACCACATAACTAGAGATCCTTGATAAGAAGTTGCCTTCCTGTGCCTTTTCTATAAATACTTCTGTGTTAAATGTTCGAGCTTTGGATGAGCTCTTCGCCAGGGTATCTAGATTTTGCGAATTTAAGCGCAGTACTAGACTTGCGACGAGGTCTCACCAATTTACAGTTGTATTGGCGAGATGTAACCGTAAGTTCTATGCTAATAGTTTCTTTTCTCGTACTTCTCGCTTGTGGAACTCTCTTCCAGTTCTATGCTTTCCAGCCAGCCTTAATCTTCAAAAGTTTAAACCTCTATCTATAAAAGGCAGGATGTGTGTGTGTGTGTGTGTGTGTGTGTGTGTGTGTGTGTGTGTGTGTGTGTGTAACGAATGCACGGACGCAATTTTCGACGGATTTGCACCAAAATTTACATGCACATGCTCCAAGTTAGCGGAAAGGGCAAGGACCGACTTTGCATTTCCCAACTAACATCGATAGTGGAAATAATCTTCTACGACAGTTTTCATGTAGTTTGCGGTCATTTTCTACTGGCCAGAGTGAGAGCCTATAGCTGGCTGCCACGAATACGCAGGAAGATTCTACTGGCCAGCGTGAGAGCCAACAGCTGACTTACACGAATGTTAACTAGCATGTTAGCATGCAAAAAAAATCGATAGCTTCATTCGTCACAAGTGGGAAAAATTTAAATCTGCATGGCACTTTACTTCAATTGGCTCATTCGCTTGCTTAAACTCGACGTTGATTCTGATTCCGCAGAACTGGATTGGGTGTGAAAAAGTATTTGTTGTTAACATTCTTGTTTCATTCGGTTTTTCCAGTTACGAGTCCTTTTTTAAAGCTGATCGTTTTGTGTTCATTTTGTTTAGTTTTTTTTTTCCTAACAGATTTAATGTTTAGTATAGAGCTTAGAAAAAAAATTTGCAGTGTGAGATAGGCAAGAAGTAAGGCATGTAGCAACATCAGCACAGCAAAGGGCACTCCTTTAAAGGCAAGGAAGGGCAAAAATATTTTAAGTCAAGTGATAGCGATTGCTGTATGAGTCGTACGATTTTGAATCAACGTGCAACATCGGGCCATGCTTCTAGTATATATATATATATATATATATATATATATATATATATATATATATATATATATATATATATATGTATGTAATTAATACAAATATAAAATTTATCACTTAGCTGATCTAAAGTTTCCTCTAGCAATCACTCCGTCAACTCGTCAGGGGATATCAGCAATCGATTATTTATTTTCTCGTTTTTTCTTTTATATATACACTTTTCAAGTGATAGCGATTGCTGTAAGAGTCGTACGATTTTTGAATCAAGCACGGGCAACGCCGGGCAACGCCGGGCCATGCTGCTAGTGTAATGTCAATCGCTTTCTACTCTCCTCCTGATTGCTTTTCTTTTGTTTTTGCCTCTTATTAAAGTTTCTGTTTTCTAATTCTTCCACCCCTGTAACCATTTATATCCTAGTGGCTTTATTGCATTGCTTGGGGGTGAAATCGATTAAAATAATCATATCTTATTTACAGTCATATCTTATGTAGAATAATATCATATTTACAATCATATCTTATTTACAATATCTTATGTTTCATTACATCTTATGTAGAATAAAATATTGTTTATAATCAAACTTTATTTATAATCTTTGGTTCATTGATTCGATTTCTACGGTTCATCAACAATTTGCAGGCTATTCAATGCCAGAAAACATCTTTTGATCGTGCTAATTTTTTTAGACAATAATGGCCCAGTGATAGAAGTTTTACAAATTAACCCATAGCTGGGAGGAGAAGTGTATTCATAGCTTTCCCAAGGCTATTTGCGCGTAAGTGAATATAATGAATCCAACTTGGAACTCAGCTCTCCGATTAAAAATTTTGAGTCATTATCCATTACATTACCCGCGCCTCTGTGACGGTTACACACCTGGCCCAGGGTCGGATCCTTTGGTTACGGCGCCAACGGTGACGTCGCTCCTCCTGGGTCCAAGCGTGCCGCTCCAACCCCTTGGTCAGATGATCACCAGCCTCGCCTTTCCCGACTCGCTTCCAATACCTGGTCACTAAAGCAACTGTACCGATCTCCGGTCTGTCTACCCACGCTGTGTTTAGATCTTAGACAGACGGGACCAGCAGGGATTGGGGCCGATACAAGTTGAGTCCGACGGGGGGTGGCAAAACACAAATAAAAGAGAAAATAAACTCACGAGACAAAAAGATTGCTGATGAAAAAAAATGGGTAACAACCCTTTATATCTTAATGTCCGTTACATAAAAACAAAATTGTTCTCATTTCCCAACCCGCTCTGTGGACTATGGCACCAAGCTTCTATCACACAACCTAAAGATTTCGAATTGCCTACTCTTTAGAATTGTGTATGTCGGAGTGTGGTTTGGTTCGACACTGGGGCTAATTTCTATCGATCATTCGCAGTTGATTCTTCTCTTCGACTTGAGTTGTATTTCTTCTTCTTCGTCGACTTAGGCTGGAAGTTCTCTTGTCTTCGACTTGGGTTGTATTTCTTCTTCTTCGTCGACTTAGGCTGGAAGTTCTCTTGTCTTCGACTTGGGCTGGAAGGATCTCTTGCCGCAACTCAGCCGCAACTCTCTGTCGTCCGAGGTGATCTCTTCTCGCTGCCGTCCGGGGCTGAACTTCCCCTGTCTTCGACTTGGGCTGGAAGGATTTCTTGTCTGAGGATTCTTTTGCCCGCAAAGGGGCGAGTGAATCGGGCCTGATGCCCGCGTTCAGGCTCTTTCCCTGCCCGCGGTTCAGCTGCAACTCCACTCCAACTGATTTCTGTCGACTGGGGTCCTGCTTTTATTGACGCCGCAACAAACTGGGGTGGGTCTGTCGGCGTCAGGGGTTTTCTCGATAATTCCAAAAGTCGCATTATTTTTGATTTCTCATTATCGCTATTGTTTTCACCCCTACTTCCTCACAGTGCCTTTTGTGGGGAGGTGCACACCCATCTCTCTTAGTCTCTCGTATGTCAGGTGACCGTTTTCGACCAATGGTTCCTGATCGGGCATTTCTTTTCTTCTTTTTCTGCAGATCACGTGACCGTTTCCGACCAATTGTTATTGATCGAGCATCCTTTCTCCTCCTTTCGGGCGTGGTTACATCGTTCTTGTTTTAAAAAACAAAATCCAATTTTGCCCTTTTCTGCACGTACGAAAAATGACAATCTTGGCTTTCTCTCACCTGGGCTCTGTCAACCAGCCCGCCGCTAATTAGTTGTGACTTCAGGAAAGAATATTGTCGCCATCTGTGATCTGAGACAATCGTTTTTTTCACCTCTTGTTTTTTTGTCAGACCCGGCAGTCAGAAAATCTTAATTTATCTGAATTGAAAACATCTTTCACTCGTCAATGTGGGGTTCTAATTTTTTAACAGGTCAGAATCTGTATACCGTTCCACCGGTCACTCCCCTCAACCCAAAAGACACTTTTTCTCTGATTAAGATTTCGTTTTCATTGTTCCCAAAATTTCTCTTTATCCAAATTGATAAGATGTCTTTCTACGCAAAAGTAGGCTAGATGCTTTGACCGATATCTGGTTTTCATCAAGCGGCCCGTTTTGATATCATGTCTTTTCCCTTTCTTTTTTTTATTATTTCTAATTCTATTCTTCCAATTGTCTTTAAAAAATTCGGTCAACATGCTAGCTAAGATATCTTTCTGACTCATGTTTTGTTAATGACCGCTTTTTGTATTTCTCGACCTCTCTCTTTTGCTTTTTCTCTTTTCCTCTCTTTCCCCTTCCTTCTTCTTTCCTTAGGATCGTCTAAGTACAATCTTAGTGAATTATTTTCAACTCAATTATTTTCCGTTTTAAAAAAAATCAACAACCTGTTTAGTAAACCGAGTAAAAAAAAATTAAATCATATTTCTATGAATATTTCTAATAATGCAAGGTGCCACACCTCAAAGCTTACAGCATCTGGTATTTCCATGTGGTCACTCATCTAGTTACTTACCAGGCTTGACACTGCTTAACTTCAGTGATCATACGGGAACGGGTGTTTTAACGTGATGTGCCCGTACCATATCTTATCTATAATCATATAGAACGCAGGTGTTCCTCAAGGCTCCATCCTAGGTCCCACTCTATTCCTTATCTACATAAATGACCTTCCTGACGCAATAACTTCCCAAGTTGGCATCTACGCGGATGACACCACAATTTATTCCTGCCACAAAAACAAATCTAGTCTCGTTGACAAAACTCGCTTGGCCGTGCGTCTCGAAAAGGACCTCCAATCAATTGTGAACTGGGGCATGAATTGGCTGGTCAACTTCAACGCTTCTAAGACAAAACTGTTCTCTTTTAATCACCACAGAGATCCTTCCCTTCCCTCCATTAGAATGTCTGACGCTCAGCTTCTCGAGAGCAACTCTCTGCTTTAAGTTGGCTCCCTGAGCCGCGCTAGGAAGTTTTTCTTCCCGGAGTCGATCCTCCAGATCTACAAACCCACAATTCGACCTTGCATGGAGTATTGCTGCCATATATGGTCTGGTACCCCTTCTGTTTGCCTCGGGGTTCTTGATAGGCTCCAGAGGCGGATATGCAATGTGGTTGGCCCTGCCCTGGCGTCTCGTCTACAGTCACTTTATCACAGACGCGCCGTCGCCTCCCTCTGTCTGTTCTACAAATACTTTCATGGAAATTGCTCCGAGGAGCTGCATTCGCTGGTTCCCAGACGTCATGAGTTCCAGCGCCTTACGAGGCTGGAATCCCGCTCTCATCCCTTCACTGTCGAAACTCCTAAATGTAGCCGTCTCTTCTACTCTAATAGCTTCATGTATCGCACCTCTCGCCTGTGGAACTCCCTTCCATTTTCCTGTTTCCCTGTGAGCTATAATCTCCAGCTATTCAAGTGTAATGTCAATCGACATCTCCAGTTGCCTTGATCTATCCACTACCCTCATCCTTTCTTCTATCACTCCTATCTGATCTTGCTCTAAATTTTCTGTAACCCATTGCGTCCTAGTGGCTTCCCGCCTTGCTTGGAGTGAAATGCTTAAAAAAATATAGATAGAGAGAGAACCATAGATCCCTACTATATTTAGAGTATCTTATAGAGAATAATATCTTTGTAGAATAATATCTTATTTTCAATCATATTTTATGCAGAATCCTGTCTTATATTGTTCGACAACAGGTGTGTGAGCTTCTATTTAAAATCTTATTTATTTCTCCGCTTTTGAAACCGTTGCTAAAAGGCAAAAATACATGGCAGGATAAAAGAAAAGGTAAAATACTTTTTCTTCTCCTTTTCTACTTTGCTGATTATCCATCTTAATAAGATATTTGCATCGCGCTAATCTGACTTAAAAAATAAAAATAAAAATCTGCTAAGATTCAGTCGTCAAAAAGTTATGAGAACAACGCAGCTAGTAAAGTACCTTGTTGGTTGCATTCTATTTTGTTAATAGATTTCAGATGTTCCCTAACAAATAACTAATATAACTAATAATACAGGGTGATTGAAAAGTAACTCTCTATATTATGTATGATGGACTCTCCCGTCTAAGTATAATTTTTACAAGACGGGAGAGTACATCATACATAAAATAGGGAGTTGCTTTTCAATCACCCTGTATATAACAACTAATAGCTATAACTAATAAGAACTATGTAAGTGAATAAATACAGAATGTCAGGACGTATAAGCAATCACTATGAAAAACAAGTGTTCTTGAGAAAAACAGCCATCAGAAAACCACTGTAACTTGCAACAAATTAGATCGCTGTACGATAGACGAAAAGAGAAGGTATTTATTCTCAACGTTTACAATGTCAGCCATTTGCAGAAACTTGTAAATCTTTGAAAGAAATTATCAGATTTTAACGGGGAAAATGGAGCAAGACAAGTTGAGCCGATAAATACAGATTTCAAATATAGATCAATTCTGAAAAAAAAAAAAAAATGAAAGAAAAAAAAATCACCTATCACAAACGCTCGTAAAGTTCTTAGCATCAATGAAGCATATCTAACCGGATTAAAGATTATAAGAAAATGAAACGCTTTGGTTACTGAGTCGCTTGCATCTGATTCGCTGTCGAATAGATTTGGGTTTCGCACAAAAATTCGTTTTGTCATGGTGGAAATCTTATAGAAATGGAAGGATAAACTTTCATTTTATGTAGCTGAGTTGAACAAGTGAACAACTTCATAAAGGCATATAAAGCGTTGTTCCTAAAAGTATAAATAAACACAAAACACACACACACATATATATATATATCCACTTTTATATTATATATATATATATATATATATATATATATATATGTAAAATATAAAAGTGGACACTCAAGTCAAGACCCAGAGGCAATAGTCTGTTTTCATACTAAACGCAATCGTCAGGCCATGTGCGTTTTGTTTTTGATCGACTATTCATATCCTTAGCTATGATTAATTAATGATTAGCATGTCATTGGATAATTTTGCTATTACGTCAGGTATATATATATATATATATATATATATATAGTGATTGAAAAGTAACTCCCTATTTTATGTATGATAGACTTTCCTGTTTTGTAAAAATAAAGTTAGACAGGCGAAAACAAAAAAGAGATATATATATATATATATATATATATATATATATATATATATATATATATATATATATATATGATAGTTTCATTTGTTTTTTTACGGTTTATCAAACGTTTGTGGGTTGTGTTTGGCCAGAAATATTTGGGGATTGTAAGAATTTTGGGGAGATAATACTGATTTGCTAATATAGGTGCTACTAATTAACCCATAACTGGAGGAGAAGATCTGGATTCATACCTTTCCCCAATGATATTTGCGTGTAAGTCAATATAACGAACCCAACTGGAATTGGAACTCAGTTCTCCGATTTCTAACTCCGAGACATTATCCGATACACCACCCGCACATCCAGGCTTACCGTAGGTAAGTACTGGCATTCCTCAGCAGTCACTCCTCTAGATCATGACCAGGCTCGACATTGCTTAGTTTCGATGATATGGTGAGAAACGGTGTTTTAACGTGATATGGCCGTAAGACAGTAATATGTAAGAACGTTTGATATTTTATTGTTATGTATGTAAGTATGTATTGATACAGTTTTATAAACATACATATATACATAATCGAAGAAAGCATTAAAATAAACACTTTACCATTGGAGTAGATTTTCATATTCATCGACCGTTGAAAAATTCGGCCGGAATTTTCTCTTGCACGATTCTTTCTCCATTTCCGATTATTCAATTGTTCGTTCTATCGCCTTGTTTTCTGATGTATCTGCCTTTGAAACGACATTGCGTTATTCCGTAAGTTCTCCACGTTCGTCTTCGTACATCTTCATGTTTTATTTTTTTTTGTTGTTTTTGTTCTTTTTTCTCTCCCCATTTTCAGGTATCTAACTTAACTCACACCAATGCTTTTATTCAAACCCCTTGTTAGAGTGACAGTCCCGGCGCTTGTTTTCATCATGACATTTCTTCTCCAATTTACATTTATCCTTTCTTTTCTGTTTCTTTTATATTTTCCACTCTTCTTTCGTTCATTCCTATTTTAATACAGGCATTCTTCCGCTTCCGTTTTGAGCTTTTGGCTTTAGTCTTTGGCGTCTTTTGTTTTACGCGTTCATTTTGTGTTTTAATTAACTCTTTTTTTGTCCCTCCCTATTCCTTCAATTTTTCCTTCTCGCTTTTATTACGCGTGTTTTTCATTCGATTCTATTATTCGTTATCTTGTTTGCATTTACTTTCTGAGATGTTGACTCTTTCTGCATTTCGTGTCTTGCTTTTTGGTTATATGCCATTTTTATCTATCTATCTATCTATCTATCTATCTATCTATCTATCTATCTATCTATCTATCTATCTATCTATGTTCCTTTTTACATATCTCAGTTTCTATGTTCATTAAATTTATATATGGGTAGATATAAAAATTACTTCTATTCGTTTTGTTGATCTACATTTGATTATGATGTCTCTTTCTATGTCTCCAGTTTTTGATATCTATTTTCTATCAAGTTAGTTCTGTCTATTATATCTATCTTTATCTAGCTATTTCAGTTTATCCATTCTTTCTTTCTTTCTTTCTTTTTTTCTTTCTTTCTTTCTTCATTGTTGTCTTATCTATCTATCTATCTATCTATCTATCTATCTATCTATCTATTTCATCTTATAGAAAACATTTTTCAATTGATTTTTCTCTTTTCCATGCTCATCGTATATTTCTCTCATCGTATACTTTCCTTCATGTCTTCGTTTTATTTATCATTGAGGTTTATTTTATGATGAACGTGTAACATATGTAGCCCTTTCTTTCTTTTATCTTTCTTTCTTTTGTTTTAAGCTTTGATTTCTTAGCCTCTTATCTTCTTCTTCTTCATACTCAGTGCTAGCCAGATTTTACATGGCTTGAATCAGATATCCATACAAATGCTCTAACTTTAACACAGTCTATGTTACATGTTTCACGTGCAAATAACATTCGATTATTGTTATCTTTCGCGCATGCGCACCACACACAACAAACGTACGGAACAGTTTACAAACAAGCGAGCAATAGTGGTTGCATTTGTTTTGTGCAAGCAGTGCACAAACACACATATATCTACATCCATCCCCTCTCTCACTCACTTACGCCCTCCCCACACACGCACACACCGAAAAGGATACACAAAAACGATATTCGCGCATAGACACATGTTAATAAATATACACAAATATACAAGTATTTCATGCTTTGTGTCCTTATAGTGCATTCGAGAGATTGTCTCTGTAGGAGAGGAAGAAAGAGAGAAGAATTTCAGGAGAATTTTTCTTGTTGTTTAGAGCTTGTGAAATTTAAGCATGCGCAGTTGTTTTAGTTAAAGGACAGCGCTGAATTCATCCAAGGATTTTTCAAACAAAATATATGTGAGGGTGGTGGGGATCTATCTTAGTTCCTTCATAGAAGCCACTCACGATCTAATATAAGAATGATTTAACTTTCATTGTGAGTAAGAATGTGAAAGTGTCTATGTTCTTTA